ACGCACCACCGACCGGTGGATCATGGAGGGGGGGGGGCGAGCATATATATATATATAGATATGTATATACATACACATAGACACACGCACATGCAGGCACATAGTTAGGTCCTGGTTTTCGCCGCATGAAGCACGCTTGGCACGAGGTGGCCCCAGGGGATGCTTCAGCAAAGCGGAGGCGCAGCATCACAGACGAGATGCACAAGTCAACTCCGTGTGAGCAGCTGCCCAGTTGCGAAGAAGGTTGGTGTGTGCCTACTTGCATTTTGTCAGCATGGATGGAGCATTCTCCTGTAAGCAGACTCGGACCGTCATTGTGCAACTATTTCAATCCAAAACTTGTGCTTGCGCATCATGCGATTGTTTCTATCTAGGAAGCGACTTCAATCCAGTCATGTCGACATTAATGACTTTTAGAGACACGCCAACCAACAGTAAGCCGCTCAGTCAGAGTCTGAGAATTGAAGCGGCATTTTCAATGGGGATGGATGGCCTGCAGAGTGCGCGCGGCATGTCTGTGGAGCAGGCCCGGGCGGGGGGGTGTGGCGGGGGGTGCCGGCTTCCAGCTGTTGGCTTTACACCAACCTTCAAAGTTTCCAGATACTGTCAGCCGAAATACTAGCAGCAGAGGGCATAGTAATATCCCTCGTTCAGCAGCCATGGGCGGCAACTCCGGAAGCCTTGCAAGAGTTCAGCCTTGCTTGCAGGTGGTGTGTGCTGGCCTGTTTTGCCTGCCTGGCAGGAACAGGACATCCTGGTTCGAACAGGTGTTTGCGGAAAGGAAGGTCTCGTTTGATTCTGGCCAGGAGTCTCGTTTGATTCTGGCCAGGAGACCACTCTCTCGGCTTCAGCGTGAAGCCTCACGCACAGTACCTGGCGGTAGCGGTTTCCGACCGCTACAGAGACTCGCTGAATGAGCTGGCACTTTCCGAGAATCTTGACCTTTTAATTCAGTTCTGCTTCTTTTGGATTTGCCAGACCTGACATGGGCGGCCACCCCAGAAGACAATGAGCTAAGCATGACAGATGTATTCTAATTAGACGTGGAGGCGTGAAGGCTCTGCTCATACTGGCATGTACTGAAGTGGCAGCTTGAAAAGGAAGCGGCAATCGAGAGCTGCATAAATACAAAGGCTGGAGTCTTCGGGCTTTCGCAACATCGACTTCGCCGATGGTCGCTGGTATTTTGATGTCCCGGCCTCGACCTACGTACCCAAGACAGCGTGCGAAGGCTTAAGCCAGATTCAGCGGAAAGGCGAGCTGTGTTGAGGCAGGGCTGCGGCTTTCTGATGCAAGGGCCTTGGCGGAGACTCGGAAGCAGTCGAGCACTGACCCGCAATGTTCCATGATGCTGGCATAAGGCATAGATAGGCAGGGCATGGCTTGAAATTACAGTATACCAGGCGATAAAGCACGTGGCCAGTATTCGAGCGATCGCACTGTGCGCGAACCTTTCGACAGCACCGTGGCTGGATGTAGTTTTTTGTTTCAGCTCGTATATATGAAAAGATTACAAGGGCACATGCCCTGCTGCTGCGCTGTAGGCCAAAGATCCGCTGTCGGCACGTGAGCTGGCACTGCGCGTCGATGAGGCAGCGAAGTGGAAAGCGACACTGAAGGCGGGCCGTGGATATGCATAATCGGCACGGCACAGCTATTGCGTCCAACATGTTGCTGGAAGACAGTTGCAACAGGAACTCACCGCAACTCGCCGGTGTTCACCATCTACCTTGCGCGTCGTTTCTCGCCGCTCCCTGCCTGCTGGACTGGAGCAGGACAACAGAGAGGGATTTCTCCGATTCTCCGATTGCCCGGCCATTCAGACAGAGTTCGGGGCGCCCCAATACTGAGGAGCTTGAGAAGCTCCTCGTGCGACGGTTTGGCTGGAGAAGGCAAGTGCGAGGACGCCGCGTGGCTAAGTATGGAGCAGCAACCAGAGCTTTTTCTTTGGTTCGTTCTTTTCACCACCGTTGCCTTACAAGCGAGTGCTGTTGCGGCCCGAGAGCACAGATAGGAAGTTCGCTAACCATGCCCCGAGCTGTTCGTTTCGTGCCCTTTGCAGTTTGCAGATCACCCGAGATGCAGGAAAGCAACCACCGCAGGTGAGATCTTTGAGTCTGTGCACTTCAGGCAAGGCCGACATCACGATCCACCTATGCGCGAGAGGAGGCATGCTGCACGTGGAGGCGATGGATCTCTGCAGATCTTCGGGGTTCCATTTCTGTCAAAGTCTTTATGAGAAGGTTAGCGTAGAAAGAAAAACGTTCTCCCAGACCAAGCCTGGCCAGCATGTGATCACACTGACAGATCGAGATCCATACTCAGCATGCCGTTACACGGGGCACCCGGCCCCTTAGTGATGCGAGCCGTGGAGGTGCCACTGCTATACCAGGAAAAGGCTGTCCTGGGTGGCGGATTGCCTCGTCCAGGCCAGATTCGGCTACAGCAGCTTTTCACGCACGTTTCCATATCTTTCTGGAAGGGTCGAAATTGTTGGGGTTGCAACATCCTTTGTGGCTTTAGTGTCCTTTCTTGGACGGGTTGTTGCTGGGCGGTCAGGCCATGATGACACCATGCGACAATCCCTCGAAATCATTCCGTTTCAGAGTTCCAGCTAGTTCCGCTTTCTCAAGCTGTTGGTTGATGCGAACGGCTTTCCCGAAGACCGAAGCCTTCGAGCAGAAACTCCAACAACACAATCCAACCACACACTTTCAAGAGTCCCTCGAAGTCGGAGGACCGACTCGCACCAGAGAAGCATGATCTGCTTTCCTTTCAAGCAGCTCTGAGAACCACCAACACGAGATTCCTAAAGCAACGGAATTTGTGGCAACTTCTTCATTCTTCAAGGGAAGGAAGTCGTGGAAAGGATGTGTTTTCGATCAGCTCTTGGAATGTTTTGGAGTTGTCGGCCTGGTCAACTTCATAGACGCTGTTTGCCTTTGTGCTTGATTCTTGTATGTTGCTCTTCTGTGTTTGCTAGTTCGACGTTTTGGAGTGTGTTGATATTGTTTTTTCACACTTGTTTGACTGGGTTTAGACTGCCTTGAACTCGTTTTAGGGTATGGTGTTGTTAATGTTTTGCTGTGGTTTAGGTTCGTTTGGAATTGTGTGGTGCAAAGGCTAGATCCAGCAGTTGCGATCAGCGGGTGCAGGCACAGGCAATGTCGTGTCTTGGTGAAGATGAGGTGCATCTGAACTATAGTCACCCGTAGTAGTGCCGGTGGGAATGACAAGAAATAAGCCGATGCTGGCCTCGTCCTTGCCTGGTCCTGACGAGGGCTGGGGCACGTGGAGGCTTGGGCCTGTGCAAGGACGGAAGTTTGACAGAAAATTGGTTGGACACGTGAGCTGAGCAGAGCTGCAACCATGAACCTGAGCAATCCTAGGACATGCAAGGCTCGTAGCGGCTCGTAGATGCTTGTCAGGAGCCTGCAGATCGAAAGCGGAGATTTGGTCCTTGATCCAATGTGCGGAAAAGGCAGTGGTGCCCAATGCAGGTATGACCATGAATTGGCAAAGCAGTCGATAATTCTAATGCACATGCAAGATCGTCGCCTTTTTCCATCCATACCGGCTCTTAGAGTGGTATCGTGGTGGACATGCCAAGCTTATCTCCGGCAGGCACGCTGCTGGCAGAGGCTGCTGTTTGGTGGCCGAGTGCAAATTTTGTTGGCTGCGATGCCACTTGGCCCAAACCGCAGGCACAGGTGGACATGTCTACAGACGTGTGGAGTCGGCTTTCGACCGAGCCTGACATGTGGTGGAGCCGAAATAGTGCAGGTGATTATATCCCTTAACTGGATAAATAACTTTTATTTGCGTGCAGAAAGCTCTGAGTTCCACACTGCAAGCGCCCAGGTGGACAAGGACCAACTGGATTGCTGCCGAAGCAACTTTGAATGGTTGCAAAGAGAGGTGTCTCTATACCACACCGATGCTACCAAGATGGGAGGGATACCGTTCCAGGATGGATCCGTCGACAAGGTCCTCGTAGCACCACCGTGGAACCGGCAGTATCGAATTCAAGGGGACCCGGAGGTCTTCTACTGCAGCATGTTCAAAGAGATCCTCCGAGTGCTGCATCCGGCTGGAAGGTTAGTTTTTCTGGGTGCAAGTGGGAAGACCATCCACAAACTCGAGGTCGCCCTGCGGAATGCGCAAAAAGAACATCGCTGTTTTCGCATTGTGTCGAAGAGGAGCTTCTTCCTGACTCGGTCCGTCACTGGAGTCATGGCTGTGGCGGAAAACACTCCGTGTGAGAACTCCGAGGGCGCAGGCTGGAAAGCTCTGCCTTGGGAGGGCCAGGCTCCAGAAAACGGTCGTGACTTGTACAACCACTGGCGGCATCTGCGTGCTCTGGCGTTTCCAGAGCTGCGGCCTGCATCCGAGCCGATTCGAGACGACAACGAGACACTTCGTCATCGCCTTCCTAAAAGATTTCTTGTACTAGTCACCGTACTCCTGGGACTGGCGGCTTTCCGCCGACAGGTGCTATGAAAATGACTGCTCCGGCTTGTAGCATTGCTTCGTGCCTTTTTGGAGGCTTTAAAGCTCTTGAAGTTGCATGAAGTTGCTGAATTAGGCAGTTTATAGGCCCATAGTGGTTGGGTGTTGTTGGCTTCGGCGACTCGCGAGGCCAAGCCACGGGGGCAGCTCGAGGGGCTCTCAAGGCCCGGTCCACGGCTGCTGGCTGCATCTCTCTGCCGCCGCTTCGGCGACTCGCAAGCGCAAGAGGCGACAACGACCGCTCTGTGACATGGCCCCAGATGCCTCCCATCGAAGTCCTTGTGTCGGGGACCTCAGATCACAAAAGGCTCACGAAAAAGCTTGCGATGAAGCACGACGCGCGATGAGCACGGCAAAACAACTGGAATGCCCATGGCCCCCGTCCGTGCCTTGTGATGGATGAGTTTGCTGACAGTTCCAGCTGTTCCATAAATGAAAGCTTGCGTACATGTTTGCGAAGATGCTGCCCAGGCCACAACCTCGTGAGCCTGCGGCTCAGCACGAGAGTGCACCAGTCTCTGGTATTTTTCATCAGAGACTCAAGCTGAAGGTCTCGCGCTCGGCTCCGGTCCACCACACCGCCTGCAGGGCGACCCACAACGCGTCTTGGCCATGATCCTGTCGGAACAGGGCAGACGGAATGGGCAGGCGAGGAGGGACAGGGGAGTGTGCAGGCCGGATTCTGCACGCAAAGCGAGGCCTGGCACTTAGACTTAGAGAGGCTTTGCATCCAAGATGGGGGGTGGGACTCCGTGACATGCTGCTCAGGGTGGACAAGGATCAGAAGAAGGAGCTGCAAAGGCAGCTTTGAAGAGTAGTTGCTTTTGCTTTTGATCCTTCGCCTAGCTCTTGTGCAGACACGCATCGCATGGTCTGCTGCAGGAACGGTGCTATGACCATTCCGTTCCATGATGGGCGACCGACCCGGTGGGCATGGGCACACCTAGGCAGTTGAACGCTGTCAGGGTTGCGACACTTAAGTTGCAGATTTGAATTTCCTGCTCCGGAGAAATGACCTGTGGCGCACGTACGAATAGAATCTTGAACAAGGGCAGGGCTGGGCTATCTCAGTCTGATGCGGGCAGGCGACTGCGAGGCCGGTAGGCTGTATCAAGTGCTACAAGTAGCACACGACAGCTGACGAGGCCCAAATCTTCAGCGCCATGGGCTCAGCGCATGATTGGAAGCCGCATGCTGGATGCCACCTATGAATAGAAGCATCGTCATTCATCACCGCAACCGCCACCCTCCATCGTCGCAGCACCACTACCACCGCCACCGCCGCTGCCGACCCTGCCACCACCACCGCCACCTCATCACCTCTGCCACAGGATCTTTATCAGTAGCATCTAACTGCATGTTGGGAACGACTTTCAAAACTGCCGAGGCCGCAGCCTCCGAAGGCTCGCGGGAAGTTGACAGCGGCGTGCTGCTGGGAGCCACCCGTTCCGTGTGCATGTCGGGAGTGTGAGAGGGATTTCTTGGTGAGAGTGCTGCTAGAATGCTAGAAGATCAAAGGTTCAAGCTGCAACGATGCCTCGCGTCACAGCGCACGCATCCGCACGCCACATGCAAGGCATTCCTTGACCGCATGGAGAAGCACAAGGAGCTCCAAGAGCCGAGAGCTTGGGAGGGCTTAGCGGGATTTGGGAGCACCGATCCGCATCTCCGGCCCCAAGGAAGAAAGCCGAAAGGATCAAGGACATGCAGGTGCTGATGCTGCTGACTGTCTTGGGGCCACAGCCTGATACAGCCTGCAATGCGTCTGGCTGTTGAATTCGAAGCATGTGAAAGCCAATAGCAGTCACGAAAAAGAAAATCGAAAAATTCCGGGTGCGTCGTATGGGCGGCTACATTCGTGAGAGAAATGGGGACCCTTCGAGTCTGTCGAGTTATCATCATTTCCCGACCCGCTTGAGTTAAAGAAGCTGCGGCTGCGAGCCTCCGAGCCAGACGAAGACGGCACCCGCTGCTCCGGAGCGCCGTGAAATCGCGCCAGAGGCTCAAAGTGCAAAGGAGCTACTTCTCTCCGTCTTTCAGTTCGCTGTTTTGGGAGTCCACTGCGCGAGCCATTTATCGACAACCGTAGAGTCAGATGCCGGCGGTGTCGTCTCCGCCTCTCACTGCATAGTTTTGCCTCCTGTAACCGCTTTTCGAAGGTTTATGCAGGTGGAGGTCGCGGGATGGCTTAGCCATGTCTCTCATGTCAAAAAAGCTTCTATCCGTCTTGAGCTCCGAGTCTCGACTTGCACCATCTTGCTCCCATCTGTGCTGGTGGCAGCATTTTGGAGCTGAGGAAGGCCGGGCGTGGCCTCATGCAGGAGCCGAGCCTCGAAGATCTTCTTTGTGTTTCGGCATTGCTTCTTCAGAGCTGAGTAAGGCTGACTCTGAGAAAGCAGTCGGCAAGTTTTGCTTGTTGTCGAATTGCCCGGCGGCCGCACTGCCCAAAGCTTCATCACTCTCTTTCCCTTTCGACAAGTCCTCATCATGATTCCACGGCTGGGCTCGCGCAGAAAGTCCAAGAGGTGGGAGTAAAGCAAAGGCTGCCAATGCAACCAAAACGTGTACGCAGCAGCAACCCTACAGGCACGGTTTTGTGGAATTCAGAGCCCCGCCACTCGCAGCTTCTGTGAAATGGACCGCTGCAACTGCGACCAGTCTGCGACGAGGTGGAGACACGAGAACCTGGCTTGAAGTTTGCGGGTGGTCTGCTTCAATCGTGAGCTTTCCAGCCCGTTCAGCGCTTTGGGATCTGGGGCTGCCGCAGGTCTGTCGGCTCATCGCGTGGATATGAAGCGCTGGAGATCATCGGCCGCGGGAGCTTCGGGCGCGCCAAGATTAACGAAGGATTCGATCTTCATTTCCGTTAGGGAATTGCATGTATGTACAAACAGACGAGTGCTAAAGATCAGAGCCGAGTTTCGAGATTTGCATGGCCTGGAGCGGTGCAGGTGTGCAATCCTGGCTCGTGATCCGCGTGGCCGAAGGAAAGCAGCCAGCTCGGTGTTTCGGTTCAAGCAAGTCGACACGACACGACTCGGCAAACATTCGGAAGTGCGATTAATAATGTGGAATTGCGCTCCGGAGGCGTTCTGCAGCCGCACTGAGAAAAGACTATATGGATTTAAACCTCAGGTCTTGAAAGTCATTGACCTGGAGCGAGAGCCTGAGTTTGAGAATATAATCTTCTCTTGTCGTCACCCATTCCGAGTTTCCTGCCGAGGTGTGCATCCGAACGCAGGAAGCGCGAAGCTCCCAAAGAGGCACCACGAATCAGGAGTCGGGTGTGTGCGGTCAGCATATGATAGAAGGCCGTCGGCTGTATGATCTCTTTCGCAGGATGGATGTATCAGGACAGAGCTCCGAACAATTGGGCCCCTCAAGTGCCATGCCAGTGCCAGCGCATGCCAGAATCGAACGCATGGGAGGCGGAAATCATGGAGAAGCTGAAGCATCCTTATATTGAATCTTATCTGAACTGTGCTGCGGTGCTTCTTGAGCATGCAGATTCGTTGCCGGGTGCACTTCTTCAGGTGCGGATTCATGAGACCTTTGCAGAGGACACAGCCCTCATCATCGTGACTCGCAGCACTGGCTGTTGGCCGGCAAGCTGACAGGTGAACGCAAAGGATGGTCTTTTGGATTGGCACTGTGGCAGTGTAGCAGATGTGGGTCTTGCTCCAAAGGTGATGGAGTATGCGGGCTCTGGAGATCTGCGCCAGCAGGTCGGGGGAGGGGCGATGATGTCGTTTCGAACAGAGGGACAATAGAGGAACATCGAGAGAGCTGGTGACTTAGGTAGTGACAGAGAGAGTCGAGGCCGAGATCAGGCGTTCAGGTTGGGCTAATGTTGCCGACGAGCTTTGCTACCGGGAATGCCCTCTCCTGACGCCTGCAGCAAGCAGGAGGGAGTGCATGAGTGAGTGAGTGTCTCTGTGTGTCTGTATGTGTCTGCATGTGTGAAACTCTGTCTGTTTGTAAAGTACTGAGTGCAGAGTCGTAGCGCAACGTTCAGCAGAGGGACCATCCGATAGCTGTGTGCGATGATCCAACAAAGCGGCCACAGCAGGCGCGAATATCAGGGCTGATCACCCTGTCGCACCTGCCATGTACAAATCATGCGAGTGACCGTGTGAGTAATTCTTTGTTGTTCAGCTGTGCTCTCGGGTGAAAAAGCACCCAATGCTTGGAGTGGAGATCTGCTCAATTGTGCGTGTGTGCATCTGTCTGTCTGTCTGTCCGTCTGTCTAAAAGAAAGACGGCAGGGACAGCTTGGGGGAGCATAAACGATGAGGATGGCAAACAAGCAGCGGAGAGACGGATGGCCGGATAGCCACCTCAATTGCTGTCTGCAGACATGTTGAGGGGTGTGTCTTCTGGAACGTTGGGAGTCGGGAGGCCGCCCGGAACACGCGAAATGCATGTACCTGATTGAGAACGGAGTGGGGTGGCATGCGGGCTGAGTTTGCTCAACAGACGGAGAAAGAGTGAAGGGAGATGAAATGAATCGTGTCTTTGCACAGGGCAAGGGCCCAACTCTTATCGTAATGCCAGCCGCAGGTGAAGGATGCGCGTCGGCGAGAGTGCAGTTTTCGTGAGCCGAAGATCTTGCGGTGCCATGGCAGAGGTGTTTCTATGAATACGGGTTCAGGATCTGTGTTTCGAAGTGTCTGGTGTAGATACTCGTGGCGGATGGCAGCTGTTCACTGGACCAGACCGATTCATCTACGTTCCTTTGTCCAGGCCTTGAGCACTCCCTGGTGCCAGGGCCGATACGAGAAACAAAGTAGAAAGCAATGACATGTACACGGCGTGACAGTTTGGACTCGTCCAGGCCTCTCGCTCAGCTGCTCTGGCTCTGCATGCCTCAGACGCAAATGCCGTCTTAGAAGCTTTTGATGCTTTGGTGACTCCGCTCCGCTGCAGGGGATTACTCCTGTTCTCAAGTTTGGAGACCCCAGTGGATGGGAGGATATGGCCACCGTCAAGTTGACCCATGGCATCCAGGGTTTCACGCCAGAGTCGTCGAACAGCAGCGTGAGTCACCATTTCTCATCCGCTCGAAGCCATGCCGCCTTCATTGCGACATCCTCCTCCGCGCCCAGCCCGCCCCATAGACAGTGAAGACCTTTCCGAAGAGGAGGGCCTTGAGCCTCAGTTCGATCAGAGCTTGAAGTTCTTCGCGTGTTTGGCATCCTGCTGATGTGAACTGACTCATCTCAGATTATGCTCTAAATCCGTGGCATGGCAGCATGCGGGCTGAGGAGAGATCCGCCATGTTCCAGGGTGACGAATTCGACAAGCTGGGCTTTGCAGCATCTCCAGAAGGCGATGCTGTGGCAGATTCGGCCAAGAGCTATGCGGAATGGTTCTGCGCTTGAATTTGTCTTTGGCTTGCGTGGCACAAAATGGGCAATTGCATCTCATCTTTCTTTTGTGCTCGCCAAGGTTTCAGGCAAAAGCCGTCAGAAGACTGAGGCGGTTGGAATCCCGAAGAGAGAACCCTGGCTTTCACAACTTGTCCTGGTCTTGCTGTCGTTATGCAGCCAGCCTCTTCAAGTTACCGGCGAGTGGGATGAAACATTGATTTGGCGTACTTTCACGAAGTGTTCCAAAATCCTGAGTGCCAGACTAACCTTCTATGATTTTCCGAGCCGCGGCCTCGCTGCCCACGACCTCGCTCACATCCGCATTATACTCACTAGACTGTCTCGGGGTACATGATGGCCGGGGCCAGGACGTGACCAACCTTCAAGCACGGGAAAAAGTCCCAACTGAGGAAGCTTCCGGCATCGGGCGACTGGAGCAGCCTACCGAAGAACACGCTCAAGGCGCTAACAAAGCAGCTTTGCTTAGCCCGAAGCGAGAAATGCGTGTGCCGATCCAATGGTAAGCTAAAGCGCTGTCGAACTGCCAGGCGTTGTTGCGAAAGGGTGTGCCCCACGAGCACCGGCCAGAGCAGCTTGGATGTTCGCCAATTGAATTTGCAATGTCTGGGACAAGAAGATGCCTTCGTGCAAGTGCATCGTTGAAGGCTTTGGTGGAGCATCCTTGGCTGTGAAGCGGAGCGCCTTCGATCGCCAGTGTCCTTCCAGTCTCCCACTCAGGTTCTTGAATGGCAGTGCTGCATTGATCCTAGCCTTGGTTGAGGCCAAACAGAGATCCGCTAGATGATTTAAAGAAGGAGTGCACGTGTAAGCAATGAACGTGTATGCATATCTGTCGTGAAGATACTCACATGGCCCTTCAAGGCAATATCTTGAAGAGCCCGTGGACAGCGCCACTGCCGAGACCATCGAGCGCGACTTGCTGTTCACAATCAAGCATTGCTGCAGTACATGAGTCCCGTTCTGGAGAGTGATGCCTTTGCCAAAACTTGCAAGTAAGATGGGATGGTTCTCGAATGCCTTCGTAAACCGTGAAGCATCGGAAATGGAGTGGACTCATCATTAGGCCCTACAGTACGGGATTCAGAGGCTTGCATGGGAAGCCTGCAGCCTGTGCCGCGGGAGCTGAAGAAGCGTCCCAGGCGACTTGCCCCGGACGTTTCCCAATCATCAAAAATTCCGTTGCGCGGCAGGCACGGTAAGGGCTGACTTGTGGCTTGCGAGTCTCTGCCAGGTTCGCCCCTGGAATTTCTTATCTTGTCCGTGATCACATGTCACCTGGCCACAGGCAGGGCAGAGCTTCGAAACGTGCTGCGGGCATTTTCCCGGCGCTGTCCAGCTGTGCGCTACTGTCTCGCGGCGTTGGTGTATTGCTCCCAACGGTGCATGCTCGAATCCGCTTGCCATTGACCAACCAAGTCCAAGGTCAAGGAATGAACTTCATCGCCGCCCTCCTCTTGATAGTCTCGCAAGACGAAGAGCGTGCCTTTTGGATGTTTGTTTGCGCTTTCGACGCACTTGGCGTGGAAGGCTATTACACGGAAGGAATGACACTCCTGCGTGCTGACATGCAGGTGTTAGCTTCCTGCATGCAGGCCAAGTGCGCCAAGGTTTCCAGGACTTTGAATCAATTTAACGTGGATCTCCTCTCTATCTCTTCCGAGTGGTACATCACATGGTTCGCAAAAAGCTTGCCTGTGCCGACGGTTCTGCGAGTATGGGACACGCTTTTTTTCGAGGGCTTCAAGGTTCTCTTCCGCGTGTCCATCGGCATTTTCAAGCAGATCGAGCAGGATGTGCTCAAAAGCGACGGCTTTGATGCCATCATGCAACAGGCCAAGCGCTGGCCAAGGAGCCTCGTTGAGCACAACGAGCTCATGAAGGCCAGCTTCCAGGGACTGCCCTCTTTCCCCAGGCATCAGCTGCAAAAGGCC